TGTTGTCAGTGTGTCTAAAGTGTTTGATGTTTGATCAGGACTCTGGAGGGATCCGGGCCGGTGGTTCACGAGCGTCGCTCTCAGACTCTCCCCGTGTCCCGCAGCAGAACAGCAGCTTTACACATGAGACTCCAGCAGCTCAACAGCCTGGACAACTCCTACAGCTACAGCCACAGTGAGACACACACTCACAGACAGCAGCTCAACACTGAAACAGCTTTACTTGATCATCCATCATCATTTATTAGAAAAATCATGTGTCAAATATGATCATCAGGATGTTGAGGAAGGTTTATTTGCTCATCCCTCAATCGTCGTTGTATTCCACTGCATTATATGTGTTAACTACAGAGTTTGATCATAAAACTAAGCATGTAAGTCGACATTTAGTCGACAGATATAGAGGGACTACTGATATTCATATGCATTTTATTTTTAAATATAATTATCATTACTCTCAGATCAGCTGTTATGGATGTTATAGCGAATAGCAAGAACTTTCTACGTGTGTGTGTGTGTGTGTGTAGCTTACAGTCATTCAGACGCTGATGTGTTGAATCAGTCTCTGTTGGAAGGAAACATTGCTACAGAAGTTTGTCTGACAGTTCTGGACACATTGAGCATCTTCATCACGGGGTTTAAGGTCAGACATCATCATCATCATCACCATCACCACCTGCCTTCACGAGTGCTGCTTGTGATATCTGTATGTGTGTGTGCGCAGACTCAGCTGAGTTTGGATCACGGCCACAATCCCCTCATGAAGAAAGTGTTCCAGGTTCATCTCTGCTTCTTACAAATCAACCAATCAGAGACGGCCCTCAAACAGGTCTTCACTTCCCTCCGCACCTTCATCTACAAGGTGAGTGTGACGCGCTGAGGTGAATAAGGCCGTGAACCACTGGCTACTGGAGGGATCATTCATTAAAGGGGTCATGAGCTGGAATGTTTTATTATTTTATATTGTTTCCTGGGGTGCCCTTATAATGTAGTATGAGTTTTTAAATTTTTTTAATTTTAAGGCATTTTTCATAGCCTGATTTTAGCCTGTGATTTGAAACGCCCACTGCTGTGATTGGCTCCTGTGAGACTTCAGTGTAAACGCCCACTGCTGTGATTGGCTCCTGTGAGACTTCAGTGTAAACGCCCACTGCTGTGATTGGCTGACATATTTGCATATGAAATAGCTAGCATTGCATGTGTAAATCTCTCGTAATCTTTTACTATTTTACCATGTTTTTACTATTACAGCTGTTGATCACGTGAATAAAGTGATCTCATCATTGCAACGCAATTTCTGCACTCTCACGAATGCCATCACATAGCGAGTTTTGAAAGTGTCCAGATAAACTCGCGCTGTGTGATTGACAGCTCGGGCGAATTCTTTGATCGCTTTTTGTATACTTAATACGATTATTTTCATCCTACTACTAGATAGTTTAGTCACTGGCTTGATTTACTGATGCATAAACAGTATTGAACGATTTTGAGAGAAAGATGGTCGGTCTGAACTTGAATAATTACACATGTTCTCACGTCACTGTTCACTAACGCTCCAGTGGGCGGAGCCTAAGACCCGCTGATGTAGGCGTTGGCGTTGATAGTCTTTTGCTGCTCTGTGTTGTCACAACTCTCCTTTTGAGATCCTGCCGTTTTCTGCCATTGTTTTCAATAAAAGCTAAGAAGGATGTTTTGAGTTTTTAAACAGGATATTTTACTATAACAACCTCTTAACTGTCAAAAGATCAAGGAAAATTGTAATTCTCAGTTCATGGCCCCTTAAAAAAATTATTTCCTTTCAAACCTGTATGACATAATAATATAATCCAATAAGTTGATTTGAAGGATGTTCACGCTGCTGTTTTCATGTGTCCAGTTTCCATGCACGTTCTTCGAGGGCCGAGCGGATATGTGCGCGTCCTTCTGCTATGAGATCCTGAAGTGCTGTAACTCCAAACTGAGCTCCATCCGCAGCGACGCGGCTCACCTGCTCTACTTCCTCATGAAGAGCAACTTCGACTACACTGGACGCAAGTCCTTCGTCCGCACACACCTGCAGGTGCAGTGACATGTGACCCTGACGTCACAGGTTTCTCACGGTTTGATTCAAATCGATTCTTGAGGTCACGATTCGATAAAAAAAAAAAACGATTCTCGATTTTAAATCAAATTTCGATTCAATATGTGCATCGATTTGATTGTAGTTTACGGTTTTGTGTTATTTTTCTTATTTGACTGCGATAGACAGTTTAATTGGTCTAGAGGGGGAAAAAATCCCACTGAATTAAATGTGAACTTTGAAAATGATTCGTTTTTCTTCCCATTTTAGTCAACCCAATTTTTTAAAACAAATGCCCTTTAAGCTGATTACAATCATTACACAGTGTTAAAGCGGGGTAGGCAATTTTATTTTATTTTTGATATTAAAAACAGAAACAAAGAAGCAAATTACAAACAATAGGACGAATACGATAGATGCTGTAGCATAGGTTTATTTAACATGTAGTAATCAATACTACCGAAATTGAGTAATCAAATGTAAATATAAAACACTGTATAGTCTTCACTGTATGAATTCAATTTATTTTGACTCGTATTGAAAATAAAAAAGTGATTCAAAAGCAGTGAGTGTTTATTTATTTTCATTAACATTAATGAAACGGATGCCAGCAGTTTATGAGGCTGCTGTCCCTTTAAGAATGAATGCACAGATCTAATATACTGTTACACATCCGATTTGCCCCTATTTGTGTTCGTTGGCGTAGGACATAACAGTCCACACAATGTGCATTTTTCGAGTCCTTGTTCGCGGCTTATTGTGATTGACATCAATAACTTTAAGTAACTGTGAGTAGCACTGCGAAATTGAAGAAGTGTAACACTTTAGAAAATTGATTTTCCAAATTTGTGAATCGATGCAAATCGGTCGAAGACAGAATCGCGATTATTTCATCCGGTCTTTAAGAGTAGATGGCAGCAGCATGTGATGATGTCATCAGTGATATCTGTGATTCCTCAGGTGGTGATCGGAGTCAGTCAGCTGATCGCTGATGTCATCGGAATAGGAGGGACACGGTTCCAGCAGTCCCTGTCCGTCATCAACAACTGTGCCAACAGCGACAAAACCATCAAAGTTAGTTCCTTTCCAATACAATCATGCAAAAACACTCGCTCCTGGAGAAAAGATTAGTCACAGAGCCGATTATGGAGGAAGTGATGTCGTTTATGGCTATAGAAAGTGTCATCCAAAAGAATTTAGATTTTTTTTTTTTTTTTTTTTTTTTTGTGGACAAAAAGTCCACAGCGGGAGTTATTCTCCATATCCTCATTTAAATAATTAATACGCAGAATAAAGGGGCGGGGCCTGGTTGAGTTAGTCAGTAGTGTGTTGGGTTAAGGGGCGGGACATTTCCCAAACACGCACTGTTCCAGTTGACCTATCAGAGCACAGTGTGCTTTTCAGAAGGAGGGGCTTCATAGACACAGGAAGTAAACAGAGCGTTACTGACAGACTGGGAAGAGAAGAGCCGCAACAATGGAGAATATGAGGAAAATAATCAACATTTAAGCAGGGAAACCTGTTCTAGTAGAGCCTGAAACACATCAAGACTTAAAAGTACAATATGTAAGATTTTTGTAATAAAATGTTCAAAAACCACTTGCACAGTGTGGTATATTTCATGCAGTTGTGTACTTACAGTATCCCAACATTTAAATAAATCCATAAGAATTTCCAGTTGTAAATAATGGCTCGTCCCTTGTCATTGTCGCCTATCAATGACATCACATATCAGTAACAAACAAAGGCGAATATAGCATTTCATTTCAGTGTTAAATTCATTACGATGACATCAAACCTACAGATGATACAAAAACTCATGTATTACCTCATGTGATTTCCATAGCCTATATCTCCGGATGGTGAATCTCCCATCGTTCCACTCTCCTTCATTACATCATCAAGCTTCGCCTTTGTTATAGTTTTGAAAAGGCGACCTCTGGTGGCGGAAACTTTCATATTGTACCTTTAATAGGTCCTCTTTAAGTTAAACACAGACTCAACCTCTGAAAGTTAGACGTTAACACACAGTCATCACCCGTCTCCCGCAGAGCACAGCGTTCCCGTCAGACGTGAAAGACCTGACGAAGAAGATCCGGACGGTTCTGATGGCCACGGCTCAGATGAAGGAGCACGAGAGGGACCCGGAGATGCTGGTGGACCTGCAGTACAGTCTGGCCAAGTCTTACGCCAGCACGCCTGAGCTCCGCAAGACCTGGCTGGACAGCATGGCTCGTATACATGTGAAGAACGGGGACCTGTCTGAGGTACACACACACACATCTTCATGCATGTGTGTGACATATGCTGGAGCTCATGTTGTGTGGTTTGGTCTCTGCAGGCAGCCATGTGTTATGTGCACGTTGCAGCGCTGGTGGCCGAGTACCTGAGGAGGAAAGGTTAGACACACCGATACACACACACACATGACCAGCTCAGTCATTTTCCCTTGAAGATGTTAAAAGGATGATCATGTGACACTGAATACTGGAGTAATGATGCTGGAAATAGGAATCACAGGAAATCACAATGCACAAAAACAAACAAAAATAACGACTTTATTCAACTATTCATGTTCTTCTGTGTGGGCCTCGAGATTTCTCGTAGTGTAACAGCGCAGCGCTTCTGAGTTGTTGTCCGTCACACGCATCACTAGGGTTGGGTATCGATTGGAACCGGGACTAACTTTTCGTTTTTCCCGGAATCGTTCAAAAGTTAAAATTTCGATTCCTAGTTTCGATATTCACAGTCCGCCGAGCGGAAGAAGAAACCGCTGAACAACACCAACGAAGAAGCGTCTACCGGAAGTGTTGGCATGATCACGCGAGTCGAACATGAGTATCTTACGTCAGCGGTCCAAAGTGTGGCTTCACTTTTCTAAAAATAACGAAATCTCGGCAAAATGCTAAATTTGTGACAGAAGGAGTATTTTTACAGGAGTATTTCCTTCAGAAAGACCGTTGGTTAGCAAGGTTAGCTAAACTTTTATGACCCTGCCTCTTAAAAGAATCGGAATCAAGAATCGTTAGGAACCGGAATCGAAACAAGGAATCGGAATCAGAATCGTTCAAATTCAAACGATACCAAACCCTACGCATCACACACATGACCAGCGTTGGCCAATAGTGAGTCAACGTGTGACGTACAACACAGTACATGAACTCACTCGAGGCCCACAGAGAAGGAAATTAATCGTTGAATAAAGTTTTTATTTATGTTTGTTTTTGCGCTCAAAAAGTGTTCTCGTCGCTTGATAAAGTTAAGATTGAGCCACTGTAGTCACTCGGACTATTTTAACGACGTCTTCAATGACTTTTCTGGGCCAGCTAGTTTCAATCCCTTTGAAAGCCTATGCAGGAGTGATCCAGTGCTCAGATTTCATCAAAAATATCTTAATTTGTGTCCTGAAGATGAACGAAGCTCTTATGGGGTTGAACAACATGAGGGAGACTCATTACTGACAGAATGTTAATTTTGGGGTGAACTATCCCTTTAAGAACAGTGAATCTAAACCACTGATTTCATCCGCTTTCAGAAGGCCAATCTAAAGGGTTTTGCTTCCGCGTGCAAACACACAGTGACTGCATTACACTTCACTGAAGCCTCGTCTTTTCTCGTTGACCAGCATTATGCTAAATATTTCACATTGTGATGTGGACGTTTGCAGGGGATCGAGGGTTTTAGGCAGGTCTGGGTCAGTGTTTCCATTAGGATAAATCGCTTTGTAAGAGACTGTAGCTGTGTCCGAAATCGAATACTATGCAAAGTATGTCCGAAATCATAGAATTGGAAAATCAGTTGGCGAAAAGTACCCAGATGACCTTCTACTTCCGGCGAGATTCTGAAGTGCGCATACAATGGACACTTTACTATCCCACGATGCCACGGGAGAGGAATTCGTACGAATTTTACGAGGCGGCTAATTCGTACGACCTCACTCGTGCGAATTAGTACGATTTTGCTAAATCGTACATATTTTACGAATTAGCCAATTCGTATGAATTCGTACGAATGACCTACCCCTGACCCCGCCCCTAAACATAACCGTCACGTGGGTTTAGACAAATCGTACAAATTGGTACAAATTGGTCGTGAGATAGCGTAGGTAATTCCTCATCATGATTAGTATGTGTAAGGTTTCCACACCAGACTGATTTCCTTTCTCTCTTTCTTGTCACCGTATCTCTCTCGTCTGATAAAGCCTCTGCTCATAATGAGTCATCACTTAGTGGATTACTCACGTTTTGCTGAACTTCGGAAAACTCAATCCAAACAATCTTTCACCTTTTCTATCTTTTCTATCATGCAACTGTCATTTTGAAGTGATGTGTGTGTGTGTGTGTGTGTGCAGGCATGTTTAAACAGGGCTGTTCAGCGTTCAGAGTGGTCACACCTAACATTGATGAAGAAGCGTCCATGATGGAGGACGTGGGGATGCAGGACGTTCACTTTAATGAGGTGAATATCTGTCCGACACCCAACAGGCCATTCGTTCACATCACAGAGAAAAGCTGCTTTTAGCTGCTATCAGAAACAGGATGATGGAAAAGCAAGTTCAATAAAAATAAAAAATACTGTAAACCCTTCAGTAAAGTCATTTGCTCAAGCAGCAACAGTGTGACAAATGAAGTGATATTAAGTTCATAAAGAGCTTGACTTTGATAAACAATTGTCCACAGTGAATGCAAAACTGCTACACACTCACAGCCAATCAGAACATGTTTAATGTTTAATATTTAATTACGAGGTCCAAGAAGATTTCACTGGAGGCAGTGATCAATATAATAATCCCACATTGTTTGTCACGTCGCACCAGGTCAGGATCCAGTGTTATAGTGTCTGTGAAGGTTTAGTTTAATATTAGTGCCGTAAAAGAGGGAAGCAATAAAGGAATATCAGTGTGTGTGTGATAGTGATTATCAGTTATCTCCACATTAATCACACTCTACCATCAGTCCTGCACTTTGACTTAGAGATAAAACACCATTCACATCACAGTCTGAAGCGGGATATTGTAGTCAACACACACCAAAACCAGAAATAAACCTTAATAAACAGTAAAAACTTGAACTTATTTTATTTGAACCAGTTGGCAAAGCAACTTTTCTTTCTTTTTATTTTTTTAGTTTAACTTAACCCTTATGCTGCATTAGGGACATTTTTGGTCTTTTGCAGTTTAATTTCTTTGACCATTTTGGCTGTTTTAATGCAAATGGTATGAAATTTGGCAAAATTGTGACTTTTTGGATACATGTAAAAAATGTGATCCCATGTTGCAAAATATGTATAACACACACTGTGTAGATCAAATAGTAACACTCAGCACCATAAAGACCAAAAATGGCCCATTGAAACCCATTAAAACGTTGTTTAAATCTGAGGCTGTCAGTAATACATGAAACATGATTTTTGCACAAACATCCTTTCATTTTGAAGCAAAAGCATTATATTTGCATTATATAGTGTATTCCACCAGATGACGTCACTACATATTTATTCCCTATGGGTGGAAATGCACCTTATTTTAGGCAATAGGCAATGTTTAATAGGTGGCCATTTTTGGTCTCTAACGCGCTAAGTGGGATTTTTTGCAAAGTGGGACTGTGATAATCCAAATCTAAAGTTTTCTCTTTGCATTTAGTTTATTGAAAATAATTGAATTTTTGTGTTTTTTCCTCTTATACAAATCGATGGTTTCGCAAACAAAACTGGTAAATAAAGGGTTAAAATCCTGAAATTGAATACATTTTTGGTAGTTATGATGAGGACTGATGCTGGTTAAAAGATTTAACTTGGTAAAAGTGGAAAATAATAATAATATATAATATTTTAGGCAATGTTTAATATGTGGCCATTTTTGGTCCTTAATGCAGCACAAAGGTTAATGCAGTGTTTTTTTAGTTTTAGATTAAGCTTTTATTTATATATTTTCAGTTTTCATGTTAATTATTGATTCATTTTTAGTAATTTAGTTTTTCGGTTTTATTTTTATTTATTTTTTATGTGCTATTAAGTTTTAATATATTTAGTTTTATTTTAATATATTTATTTCAGTTTTATTTTCCAGTTAATAATTTTAGTGCTTAAACTTTTATTCAGTTTATTGCCAAGGAATCATATGTAATTTTCATTAATACGTTTTTTTTTTTTTGTCAGTTAATATTTATATCTTATTTTATTTTAGCTTTATTTCAATTTGCCAAAATGTTTTGAATAGATTTAGTTTAATAACCCTTACTTGATGTACTAACAATAAAAATAAAACAGAAAAAATATAGTATATAAATAACATAAAAAATATTATTTAATTATATAAATAGTATGTAAATAATAATATAAGTTATATATGAATTATTTAAATAGAAATAGAAAATTATATATATATATATATATATATATATATATATATATATATTAAACCGTAATTAATAACAATGATAAAAACAAACTTTTACAAAAATGAAAAAGAAATCTTAAAAAGAAATCTCAGCTGATGCTGAAGTGTTTCTCTACGCCGGCGGCTCCTCTGAACTGACCGTCGCCCGAACACTCGCTGCAGGACGGATGAGGAGTGTGTGTTAGTCAGGAGAGAGGGCTGATGACTCTTGTTTCTCGCAGGACGTCCTGATGGAGCTTCTGGAAGCGTGTGCGGATGGGTTGTGGAAAGCCGAGCGATACGAGCTCATCTCTGACATCTACAAACTCATCATTCCCATCTATGAGAAACGCAGAGATTTTGAGGTACAGCAGTAACACACACCGATCTATGCACACACACACTGAGATGAGTTGTTTAGTAACTGCTTCTCGATGAATATTTAAATTAGGGTTAGTTGCATGAACCTCTAGTTATTACTATGGTAACTACAAGGACATTGTAAAATAAAGTGTTAACAAATGTGAGCTGTAAACTATGTGTGTGTGTCAGAAACTGTCTCACCTGTATGACACGCTGCACCGGGCCTACAGTAAGGTCACAGAGGTCATGCACACGGGCAAGCGGCTGCTGGGCACATACTTCAGAGTGGCGTTCTTCGGTCAGGTAAGTCTCCTGCGCTTCACACTCCTCATCTCTCGTGTTGATCATCTGTGTGTGTGTGTGTGTGTGTGTGTGTGTGTGTGTGTTTGAGCTCGGCTTGTGTGGCCTGGACTCTTGGGTGTAAAAATTAACAAAATGATCAACATCAAGATTTTTTGGTTCAGATTTACAGTACATGTGTATATATAACACTTGAGGAAAAGAAGTGCACTTGAATGGGATTAAACTTCAAATCTTAAGAGTATATATATATATTTTTTTGGAAAACTGTACTTGCAGATAATATATCACTGAAATAAAAGGCCATTTAAGTGCACTTAAAGAGAATAGAGTTTCATGACTGTTTCTTAAGTACACTTAAAATAGGCATTTTTTCTATATTTTTCTCTAAAAAGTCATTGTTTCTAATAATCTTTTGCCGTGCTTTAAATAAGTTCACTTATTAGTTTCATATATTGTAATTCAAATATATTTAAATGCATGACGTCCAAGATTTAATGTAAATGAGATTAAAGTCTTTAAAATTTTCATAAAGGTTTATCGGCAATGCTTTATCCATATTTCAAAGACAATAGAAGTAATTATGAAATTACATGAAGATACTTATGTACTTAAGTTTATCTCAAGTGAGTCAAAAGTCACATTAAAATTCATTAATTGCATGTAATATGTATATTTGAACTATGATGTTCATTTAATTGCAATTAAGTGTCTAAAAACATTCAGTTTGCACAAGTTTATTTTTTAAAAAGTATATTATTTCCATAATAAGTAAGTACTCTTTTCAAAAGTGTGTTAAAGTGTACTTTTTCAGGGAAAGTGTGTGTTTATTGGCCAGTGATAGTCTTATATTGAGTGATATGGAAACAAATTTGAAATGTAAAGCCACGTTTTGTAATGTCTAATCAATCATTTACTCTTCTGACACAATAATATAATGTATGGAAGCTTGTTTTCACCACAGAATAAAACATTTTAAAAGATAACTGTGACTTTTTGTTACATTTCTGACTTTATTTCTCAGAGTTACTTGTTATAAAGACAGATTTGTGAGATAAAAAGTCACAATTATCTTTTAAAATGTTTTCTTCTGCTTTCTTCTAATGTCTTTCGTCAGCAAATAATAGTAGAAATGTGATTAACTGGCAAACAGTAAAGTGAATTCCCTGAAGCGTAATGAAAGAAGTGTGTGTGTGTGTGTGTGTGTGTGTCACTGATGGGTGTTTCTGTCTCTAGCAGTACCTGTGTAATGACTCTGAGATCAACGAGGTAAACGGACATGAGTTTCACGTGTGTGTGTGTGTGTGTGTATGTGTGTGTCGTCCTGCTGGCTGTGGAGGTCATCATAATCCCTCTGTCATTATTAGGAGTTATCATCTAAACATTACCATCTTTCCCAGTATTTCCTGAGTGCTGTTGTAAATATTTGTGTCCTGTGACTAATTTAGTATTTAATATGATTAGGAAATTGGCCTTTTTTGTGTCTAGATGGTGAGCAGCAGGTTTCTTAAAGTTGAGTTTTAACGTATTCTTCTGATTGATTCGGATTCGCTTGTTGTTTCAGGGGTTTTTCGAGGATGAAGATGGGAAAGAGTACATATATAAGGAGCCCAAATTCACGCCGCTGTCTGAGATCTCACAAAGACTCCTCAAACTCTATTCAGACAAGTTTGGAGCGGAGAATGTGCGGATGATCCAGGACTCAGGCAAGGTGAGCAATCACTTACTCACTTACTCGCTTATTCACTCATTCACTCACTCACTCACTCACTTACTCGCTTATTCACTCACTCACTCACTTATTAGCTTTCTCACTTACGTACTCACTCACTCACTCACTCACTTACTCACTCACTTACTCACTCACTCACTTATTCACTCACTCAATCACTCACTCACTCGCTCGCTTACTCACTCACTGACTCACTCACTCACTTACTCAGTCTCTCACTCACTCACTCACTCGCTCAATCACTCACTCACTTACTTACTCACTCACTCACTTACTCGCTTTCTCACTTATGTACTCATTCACTCACTCACTGACTCACTCACTCACTCACTTACTCACTCACTCACTGACTCACTCACTCGCTCAATCACTCACTCACTTACTTACTCACTCACTCACTCACTCACTTACTCACTCACTCACTCAATCACTCACTCGCTCGCTTACTCACTCACTGACTCACTCACTCGCTCAATCACTCACTCACTTACTTACTCACTCACTCACTCACTCACTTACTCAGTCTCTCACTCACTTACTCACTCACTCACTCAATCACTCACTCACTTACTGACTCACTCACTCACTCACTCACTCACTCAGTCTCTCACTCACTCACTTACTCACTCACTCACTTACTCACTCACTCACTCACTCACTCACTTACTTACTCACTCACTCACTCACTCACTCACTTACTCAGTCTCTCACTCACTCACTCACTCAATCACTCACTCACTCACTCGCTCGCTTACTCACTCACTCACTGACTCACTCAATCACTCACTCACTTACTTACTCACTCACTCAATCACTCACTCACTCGCTCGCTTACTCACTCACTGACTCACTCACTCGCTCAATCACTCACTCACTCACTCACTGACTCACTCACTCGCTCAATCACTCACTCACTCAATCACTCACTCACTTACTCACTCACTCACTCACTCGCTTTCTCACTTATGTACTCATTCACTCACTCACTCACTCACTTACTCACTCACTCACTCATGTAGCCGTTAAATGTAGACATCATTGAGCAGTGTGTCTTCACTAGCATGAGGCCCAGAGCTGGCGATCCGCTAAATATGCTCTGCTGTTTGGCTCAGATTAACACAAAGGATCTGGACTCGAAGTTCGCCTACATCCAGGTGACTCACGTCAGCCCGTTCCTGGAGGAGAAGGAGCTGCTGGAGAGGAGGACCGACTTCGAGAGGAGCCACAACATCCGCCGCTTCGTCTTCGAGATGCCGTTCACCGTTTCAGGCAAAAAACAAGGCGGCGTAGAGGAGCAGTGCAAACGCAGGACTATACTGACCAGTGAGTACACACACTTACACACTTACACACTCCACATGGAGAAGAAGAAGAGATCCACTGATTTAGAGATAAGTGTCTGACACTTCCAGAGTCGGCTCAATCTGATCCTCACAGTTATATGATCCTCCCAATCACAAAGTACAGCTCTTATCTGCACAGTGTCTCGGCACACACCTCAACTCCTTCAGTGCGCTTTAAAAGCATCCCAGAATGCACCTCATCTAGCACACTGAGCAGAGCTGACGTATAGATTTGTCTTATAGTCGTAAGTCAGAGGCCGCAGCAGAGCCTACGAGTGAGCCAGACGGCATAGATATATACACGGCTGTGCAGCTGCAAATGGTTTTACATGCAGGCTTCAGTAAATCGAGGAGTTTCCGAAGACATTAGTAGGCTATGATAAGAGTAAAACTACTAAATTAAAAATATTATTTTTTGCAATTGAAAAAACACTCTCGAAGATGCGCAAGGCTACACAATTTGATTTTCTACCATTTTTAGAGTAAAATGTGATATTGGAAATATACATTTTATATAAAAATCTAAAAAAAAAAAGTATTTTTGTGCATTTTCATTACACGTAAAATTCTGTAACTTTTTTTTTAAACTTCAGCAATAATCTGCCACGTGTCGTCTTTGAAGAGAGAGAGAGAGATCAAGCTACCGCTGTTTTGTGTTACAAATTATGTAGGATCCTCTAAAATATTTATTATATCACATATTTTAGTAGTTACCATAAATTTGGTATCATTTGAAAGCTTATAAACTCAGAATTCATCCTGTGAAAACTGTTTTATAATTGAACGTTGCGTTACCATAGAAACGGTACTTATTTTATCAGCCTCCTCCCCCCTTTGGGCATCATTATATTTCATAATTTATGATCAAAACCTTTTCTAATCTTGACAAAACACATATTGTCAGAAAGGTCTGAGTCTCAAGGTTCCAAATTTTGTGACAGAATTGATATTTGGACAGAAATGTATTAATTTGTTAAGGCAGAATGTATACAACTAAATTCAATGGAATTCAATGGCACCCGGTGGCTATTTTTGGTACTACACCTAAACAAAATCTCATGGGAACTTCAATTTTTGTGATATCAACTTCAAATTTGGAACATAACTTGATAAGATTTATGGCTTTGATTTTATAGAAATTTTAGGGTAAAAATATTTTGTCAAATATATATTTTATATAAAATAAAAAATATATAGTACAGTATATTTAATTTACTGTAAATTTAAACTTCCATAACTTTTTCATACTTTCATTTTTTGAAGTGTTTTCACTTCAGCAATATTCTGCTGAGTGTTTTCTTTAAAACAAGACCAAACTTGGGTATATTCCAAAGCATTCTTAAATTACAACTATTTAAGTTTTTATAGTGCATTTTAACCCCCATTCTCAAAAAGGGGGGTGACAGCTAAGGGGTTAAGGTCTATGCTAAAAAAGTGAATAAATGGATCATAAATACAGCGTAAATATAATTTACAATTTAAAAAAGTGGTGTTTCACTGTGTAAAGAGGTTTTTTTTTACCCAAGTATTGAGAAATAGGTCAGTAAATCCTGTGAACCGTGTTCCTCAGCCACACACTCGTTCCCGTACGTGAAGAAGCGCATCGCCGTGATGTACCAGCATCACGTGGACCTGAACCCCATCGAGGTGGCCATCGACGAGATGAGCAAGAAGGTGCTGGAGATCCGGCAGCTGTGTTCCTGCAGCGACGTGGACATGATCCAGCTCCAGCTCAAACTACAGGGCAGCATCAGTGTGCAGGTGCACACACACACCTCACCACACACACACACACACACACAGACATGGATTGTAACGTCTCTCGTCTCCAGGTGAACGCCGGTCCTCTCGCGTACGCCAGGGCGTTCCTGGATGATGCCAGCACTAAGAAATACCCAGACAACAAAGTCAAACAGCTAAAGGAAGTGTTTCGGTAAATACACACACACACACACACACACACTCCTCTAAACATGCATGTACAATATCAGTAAGCTTTATTTTTATCATTATCAATGACATCACAGTGATCAAACGGGACACTAAAGACATTCATCATGTCACCGCAGATTATATTTCAGATCCTGAAAGTGTGTGTATCAGTCTCCATACAATCATGAAGCAGCACAACATTAATAAAACACATTTAAAAATGGAGTTTTTTACACTGTATTAATATTTCACAGTATTCCTGTTTTCTCTGTGTGTTGATGAAATAAATGAAGAAGAGTCTCTCGAAACACACACACTCAACCATTACACACCTTTAGTTTGTCTCGTCTTCTTTGGTTTAGTTTGTCTCGTCTTGTGTTTTCTGTTTTGTTTTGTTTATCTTGTTTTTGTTTGTTTGTCTCTCTTCTTATTTTGTTTTCTTTGTTTTGTTTGACTTGTCTTGTTTTTGTTTTTTTGTCTTCTGATTTTGTTTGTCTTGTCACATTTTTTGTTTGCTTGTTAAACACACATATACTGTATATATATATTAATGAGATTACATTGAACTTCAAGTGAACTACAAGACAGCTTTTTAATTAACGATTAAAAACGGTGAAAGAAACTACAAAATAAACTAAAACACTGTATGGAAATGTGAAAAATGGGAATTATATTAAGTAAATTACTAATTTTTTATTTAAATAAATCTAATATTAAGTCTTATATTTGAGCTTCTACAAAATCTCCACCTTTGCACACTAAGAAATTCGTAAATTGGAACTATATATATGTGTCCACAAAACTAATTTCATGCATACAGTGTATATGTGCATATATAAAGGTGGACTGGTACGTAGGTGTGACGTGTGTGTGTGTGTGTGTGTGTGTGTGTGTGTGTGTGTGTGTGTTCTGCAGGCAGTTTGTGGAGGCGTGTGGTCTGGGGTTAGGAGTGAATGAGCGTCTGATTAAGGAGGATCAGCAGGAGTATCATGACGAGATGAAGGCCAACTACAGAGATCTCACCAAAGAGCTGTCCGCCATCATGCATGAGCCTGTAAGACACACACACACACACACGTCATGTCTCTGTCGGATTTACAGGCTTTAATCTCTCCCTGTTTTCTTTTCCTCTTTTGCTGTCGTGGTCAGATCGAATGGTAAATCATTTCTCATAACTGAAGCACACACTCACGAACGTCTGTCTGTTCCTCACACAGGGATAAAGAGGAGTGTGTGACACACTGCACCAAACACAACTTTATCTCACAATTCTGACTTTATTTCTCTGAATTTCTCACGATATCAAGTCAGAATTGCGAGTTATAAAGTCATATTCTGAGGGGGGAAATACTTTTTTTCTATTTATATCTCACAATTCGGACTTAATGTGTGTTATTGATTCAGAATTGTGAGATAGAAACATGCAATTCTAAGAAGAAAAAAAAAGTCAGAATTGTGAAATACAAAAAAATATATATATAATAAAAAAAAGATTAATTCTGTGGTGTGAACCAGCTTCCTTTTTATATGGTGCACAGGATCCAGCTTTCTGCAGATCTGACCTCACTGATATTCGGTGAGCATCACTCCTCTCTCTCTCCACAGATCTGCCCAGGGGATGATGGGATGCGCAGTCCTCTTCCAGACTCACTTCACATCTTCAACGCCATCAGCGGGACGCCCACTGTCGCCACCGTCCAGGGCCTGCCCAACTCCTCCTCCGTGGTGTGAGCCTGACCCCTGGCTGACCTGGAGGACACTGACTGTTTCCTGTGGAGACTTCATCATAAACTGTGTGTTTTACCTTTGGCCATTTTGCCAGTTTTATAGGGCGGCTCACACAAACACGTCCTCTGCTAAAGTGTGTGTTATCTTGCTCCATCTGTGTGACGAGCCTGAAGTGGTGCGGTGTGAATCCGTGTGATGCACTGGAGACACACACACACACACACACACACACACACACACACACTAATGTTTATCTCTTATTTTTCTACTGTGTGTCACAGCTGAATGTGTTTTTATCTGTATTTAACAGTCTCTGCTCTGCTGTATTTAAACATCGTCTCTAATGCTTTGAATAAATCTCAAACTATTCCCAAACACTCCTGCTGTTTATTTAGACCAATATACCCGCTTTCATCATCAGATTTCTTTTGTTTTGTCTTCTTTTTTTCTTTTTGTTTTTGTCTTGTTTGTCTCGTCATTTTTGCTTGTCTCATGTATTTTTTTGTATCGTTTTATTTTGACTTATTTTGTTTTTGTATTAATTTACTTTTGTTTTTGGTTTTGTCTTGTTTTTGTTTTTTGTTTTGTCTTGTTTTTGTTTTGTTTTTTTGTTTTTTATTTTGTTTTGTCTTTTTTGTTTTATTTTGTCTTGTTTTTGTTTTTTTGTTTTGTCTTGTTTTTGTTTTGTTTTTTTGTTTTTTTCTTGTTTTTTTTTTTTTGATGTGTTTTGTGTTGTCTTGTTTTGTTTTTCGTTTTGTTTTATTTTGTTTTTGGTGTGTATTTTGTCTTGTTTTGTTTTGTCTTGTTTTTTGTTTTGTTTTTTGTCTTGTTTTGTTTTGTTTTTCTTGTTTTTGTTTTTTTGTTTTGTCTTGTTTTTGTTTTGTTTTTCTTATTTTTGTCTTGTTTTTCTTTTTTCTTGTTTTGTTTTGTTTTTCTTTTGTCTTGTTTTGTTTTGTTTTTCTTATTTTTGTCTTGTTTTTGTTTTGTCTTGTTTTGTTTTTCTTATTTTTGTTTTGTTTTTCTTGTTTTTGTCTTGCTTGCCTTGTCATTTTTGTCATCTCATCTTGTTGTTTTTTTTGTTTTGTTTTTTGTTTTTGTCTTATTTTTGTTTTTGTATTAATTTAGTTTTGTTTTGTCTTGCTTGTTTTTTTTTGTCTTGTTTTGTTTTTGTTTTGTTTTTCTTGTTTTTGTTTTTTGTCTTGTTAAATTCAATTCACTAAACGTCATTAATCCCCCGAGGGGAAGTGTACACTCACAGCACCAAATACCACACAGTAATTATTATAAATAAAAAAACATTCACAAAAACAGCCATAATTTCCCAGTATCAGTCCTGCAAGGCATTATGATTCTATAATGTAATCCATTATATTAATTTTTATATCAATTTTGATTTGTTTGTCTTTTAGTTTTTTTTGCCTTGTTTATGATTATCTGAGAACACATCTTCTCTACGGCGCTGTAAACGGTGTGTGTTGTTACCCTATGGACCCCTGATATTATCTGTCAATCTGTCCTCCTCTGGTCATAAAGCAGACAGGACACAGTCCATGCTAATAACACACACACACATGTTTCAGCAGCTCTTACAGAGACGGTCAGGTCTTTTCTCACACACACACTCCTGCTGCCAGAATGACAGGTGAGGATTTTAAACTCAGAAATGATCGGTACAGCTTGATGCTGATAATTTGATGTTGAATGTGAACTAAAATGTGGTTCATCTCGCAGACGGAAAGATGGATGAGACTAAGAAAAAGAGGAAAAAGGTAAGATTATTTATCAAATCATTCTCCTGACATCATTAATCAGGGTGGCTAATTAAAAAGTCTTAATGTTTTCCTAATAAAGGGCCTTAAAAATAATTCAGTTGTCTTTAATTCAGATTTGATGGGTCTTAAATATTTGTGCACATATTTGTCCAGTGTGACGGACAGAATGAGTGTTTATAATGGAAGTATTTCAGAAAGCTCCCAGCGCACACACACACACTCCTGTATGAGAAAGCTCTTGGCTATGGCACTGGATATATATCCTACAATATGAGTTCAGTGTTTTCTGAAATGTGTTTAATGGGTGCTTTGGTGTGCATCAGTTATGAATTATGGATCCTCATATGGTTATGGTCCTGTTGGAGTCTCCCAGTCCTGTTTTTGGAAAGACACACACATTTACTTGTAAAGCTGGCAGAGAATACGGTTTTGTGAGAGTCACATCGCTGGATATAGCAAATGATGTCAAAATGAACTGGTTACACAAAACAAAGTGTGTAACGCTTAAGTGTGTGATTAAGAAAATGTGATCTATTGACAGCCCTAATCATATAATACATAAATAAAGCCCTAAATCTTACATTTCATATACGGTAGTGTTTAAAAGTCTTTATATCTGTGGACACCCTGATTATGAGGACAAAGTGTCCCAACATAGAGATCAATATCTGAAATCCTGACCATGTGGCGACATTATCTGCGGAGATCAGTGATGTGTTTTAAAAATGCAAAAAGTGTGTGTGATGGGTAGGTTTAGGAGTTGTGTTAGTGTGTGTGTGTGTGTGATGGGTAGATTTAGGAGTTGTGTTAGTGTGTTAGTGTGTGTGTGTGTGTGATGGGTAGATTTAGGGGTTGGTTTAGTGTTAGTGTGTTTGTGTTTAGGGGTTGTGTGTGTGTGTGTGTGTGTGTGTGAAAGGTAGGTTTAGGGGTTGGGTTAGTGGAAGCGTGTGTGATGGTTAGGTTTAGGTTCGGGCGAATCCGCATTTGGAAAATAAATGAAATAAAATCTGTTTTCTTTTATTCAAAATACATTTAATTTAGGCTTAGTGTGATATTGTATAAAATATTACAATTATAACTTTACAATTATAATATTTTATACAATATCAATAAAATGATCTATAGTGTGTTCTCATTTCAGCCGCTACTGTAAGTAAACGTGTGTGTGTGTGTGTGTGTTTATTTGACTTATCAAAGTGATTACGAGTTGAATCCTGTCTTTATTAACATCTATCAGAGGAACTAATAATAGCCATAAAACTAAAAGAGCTTCCACAAAGAAATATATTACCACATGCGAGATAGGTTGTATGTGTAGTCGAAGCTCATGTGGTGTGTGTGTGTTGTACAGACGGCGGAGTGTTGTGGATATCCCATCAGCATCTTCTTCATCGTGGTCAACGAGTTCTGCGAGAGGTTCTCCTACTATGGCATGCGAGGTGAGAGTGTGTGTGTGTGTGTGTGTGTGTGTGATCTTCACAGAGAAAAGGGTTAAACACTGAGTGAACATAACTAGTGCATGATGGGTCATAAAATACTGTCAATCATAAAAATTAACGATATTGAAGAGCAGACGGACAGAAGCTGTTTATATCAGGATGTGTGGACCTTTGCATGTTGGACACAGGAAAAACACTTTGTTGGTGCTGTTGTTGTTGTTTTAACTCAACGGTTGGGTTACTTTTAACCCAGCTGACTTTTAACTCACCGTTGGGAAGGTACATCACCCTAAAAAATACTGGGCTGTTTTAACCCAATTTTGGGTAAAATATGGAGAAACCAAACTTTGAGTTAAAAATGTCATTTAAAATGTTAACCCAATTACTGGGTTTGTCAATATTTGATCCAAATTTGGCTTGAAATAACCCAGCATTTTTTAGAGTGTATACTGTACCACCCCATAGATGAGTTACTCGTTGGGTTATCTTATTTTTAACCCAACATTATTAAGTGAGTACTCGGTTCAATTAGTCATTACAGACTTTGTGGAAAAACTCACTCTGATATTTACAGACAAATGCCAAGTGGCACTCTAAACAATGCTGGGCTGTTTCAACCCAAATTTGGGTCAAACATGGACAAACCCAAATGTTGGGTTAAAAATGTAATAAAAAAATGTACAGTTGAAAGTGAAAGTTGAAGTTTGGATAAAATTTTAAATTACATTTTTAACCCAACATTTGGGTTTGTCCATATTTGACTCAAATTTGCGCTGAAACAACCCAGCATTGTTTAGAGTGTGTATGAGAACCAGTTTCATATGATTCGCACTTCACATATAAATTCCACATTTCTTCTCTAACTCATAAATATTTGAAGCGAGTGCATTTTGTTTTTGCAATCTGGTTCAGGTTTCTTTGGTATATATTCTGTAAATAAGGTTCAGTTTTCCTCCAGCGCCCCCTGGAGCCTGTGGCACGCCGCTGCTTCTGCCTGTGAAGAGATTGATTGGAGAATATCCTAAACTGTGGAGGATCTTTACAGTCTCTGATGAAACTTATGGTTTCAAAAATAAGCGCTCATATAATAAAACAGTAAAATAATAACAATAAAAAGCTCAAACACAATTCAGTTCCAATAGACTGCATAACTACTAAAATAGCAAAAGCAAACCTGAACTGTGTGTGTGTCCAGCGGTGTTGGTGCTGTATTTCCGGTATTTTCTGCTGTGGGACGATGACCTGGCGACCTCCGTCTATCATGCGTTCGTGGCGCTGTGTTACCTGACGCCCATCATGGGGGCCATCATCGCCGACTCCTGGCTCGGGAAGTTCAGGTGTGTTTTCTGGGACGTTCTGCCCAATCTGAGGAAAACACAGGACAGTCGTGGTTCTCCATCGGGAATAAGAGACTGGACTCTCAGAACATGATGTGTGTGTCACATATATTTCAGTGTCTGCAGTTAAATGTGTGACCTCATACCAACAAATCATACCAACAAATGTCCCATTACACAAACCATCGTTAAAAACAATAGCATTTGTCTGAAGAAAAGCTTTCTATTTCAGATAAATCTCCTTAAAGGGATACTCCACTTTTTTGGGAAATAGGCTCATTTTACCACTCCCCCAGAGTTAAACATTTGGGTTTCACCGTTTTCCAATCCATTCAGACGATTTTCTGATATTTAGAAGAAAATCAGTAACCAGACAGTTTCTGGTCTCATTGACTTCCATAGTATATTTTTTCCTACTATGGAAGTCAATGAGACCAGAAACCGTCTGGTTACTGATATAAACATCAGAAAATCGTCTGAATGGATTGGAAAACGGTGAAACCCAAATGTTTAACTCTGGGGGAGTGGTAAAATGAGCCTATTTACCAAAAAAAAGTGGAGTATACCTTTAAGTAAAGGGGACAAGGGAGGTTACAGGACAGATCACTTAGGCCGAATCTACAGGACGTCCCGGACTCCTGACAACCCTATCAGAATCTGTCCCTCAGTTTGAGACTGACCGCCGTTCAGAAAGGCTGTCGTGTGATGCTGTGTGTGTGTGTGTGTGTGTGTGTTTCAGGACGATCATATACCTGTCAGTAGTGTACGCGGTGGGTCAGGTGGTCATGGCCGTCAGCACGATTCATGACATCACAGACGCCGACAGAGACGGCACGCCGGATAACTTCACCTTACACATGTGAGGGTTAGGGTTAGTGTAAGGGGTGAGGATACATAGTTTATTAATGGAAAATCCTCATAAAACATGGAAAACAAACGTGTGCGTGTGTGTGTGTTTCAGCGCTCTGTCCATGCTGGGTTTGATCCTCATTGCTCTGGGCACAGGAGGTATTAAACCGTGTGTGGCTGCGTTTGGTGGCGATCAGTTTCAGGAACATCAGGTACGACACTTTCCAACGTCCTCGTCAGCCGGACTTCTTCTTCTCTGCCTTTCTGTCTAATGTTTGTTGTGATGTGTTGATCGTTTCAGAGTCGCCAACTCAACACATTTTTCTCAGTGTTTTATTTGTGCATCAACGCAGGAAGTCTTCTCTCCACACTCATTACTCCTGTTCTCAGAGGTAAATGTGCCCGTTATGCTCTTTTGAGATCAGCCTTCCTGTAGTGTGTAATAAAGCTGTTAGTGAATGTAAAAGAGCTGCAAACTTTCAAAGATCAGAGTGCAGATTAAAAATGTTATATACCAAAAGAGAGAAGAAATTCTGAACCGCCTGTAAATCCAGTCTCTCTTTCTGGTGACTCTACATACGTTTGTAACACATTTACATAATACCAATCTATGGTCTTCATAGACCAATCACAACAGACTGGGTCATCTGACCAATCAGAGCAGAGTAGACCAATCACAACAGACTGAGTCATCTGACCAATCAGAGCAGAGTAGACCAATCACAACAGACTGAGCCATCTGACCAATCAGAGCAGAGTAGACCAATCACAACAGACTGGGCCGTCTGACCAATCAGAGCAGAGTAGACCAATCACAACAGACTGAGTCATCTGACCAATCAGAGCAGAGTAGACCAATCACAACAGACTGGGTCATCTGACCAATCAGAGCAGAGTAGACCAATCACAACAGACTGAGTCATCTGACCAATCAGAGCAGAGTAGACCAATCACAACAGACTGAGCCATCTGACCAATCAGAGCAGAGTAGACCAATCACAACAGACTGGGCCGTCTGACCAATCAGAGCAGAGTAGACCAATCACAACAGACTGAGTCATCTGACCAATCAGAGCAGAGTAGACCAATCACAACAGACTGGGTCATCTGACCAATCAGAGCAGAGTAGACCAATCACAACAGACTGAGTCATCTGGCCAATCAGAGCAGAGTAGACCAATCACAACAGACTGGGTCAGCTGACCAATCAGAGCAGAGTAGACCAATCACAACAGACTGGGCCGTCTGACCAATCAGAGCAGAGTAGACCAATCACAACAGACTGAGTCATCTGACCAATCAGAGCAGAGTAGACCAATCACAACAGACTGGACCATCTGGCCAATCAGAGCAGAGTAGACCAATCACAACTAGGGTTGGGTATCGAGAATCGAGTATCGATTGGAACCGGGACTAACTTTTAGTTTTTCCCGTAATCGTTCATTCAATCGTTCGATATTCACAGTCCGCCGAGCGGAAGAAGAAACCGCTAAACAACACCAACAAAGAAGCGTCTACCGGAAGTGTCATTATAACTGCGCGAGTCGAACATGAGTATCTTACGTCGGCAGTCCAAAGTGTGGCTTCACTTTTCTAAAAATAACGAAATCTCGGCAAAATGCAAAATTTGTGACAAAAGGAATATTTGTGACAGGAGTATTTCCTTCAGAAAGACCGTTGGTCAGCAAGGTTAGCTAAACTTTTTTTGACCCTGCCTCTTAAAAGAATCGGAATCAAGAATCGTTAGGAACCGGAATCGAAACAAGGAATCGGAATCAGAATCGTTCAGATTCAAACGATACCCAACCCTAATCACAACAGACTGGGTCATCTGACCAATCAGAGCAGAGTAGACCAATCACAACAGAGTGGGTCATCTGACCAATCAGAGCAGAGTAGGCTCTCAGAGAGGAGGGGTTTAGAGAGACTGAATCCTTTATGAAACTGTTTCAGACACAGTGAGTCAGAGCTGATGCTGCAGTGGATATTATGAGAAAAGTGTTTTTACATGTAAATCTATGGCAGGACACTCCAAAGCAAAATTAGGAACCTTTAAAATAGCATAATAGGGGCACTTTAACACACATTTCCATTATATTTTCCCCATAACACCCTTCTCCCCATCTAACGCTCCTCCTCTGTGTGTGTGTGTGTGTGCAGCTCAGGAGTGTGGCATCCACACACAGCAACAGTGTTATCCTCTGGCCTTCGGGGTCCCAGCCGCTCTCATGGTCATATCTCTGGGTAAGACCGAGTGCCAACTGAACACACACTGAGATCTGTGTGTGTGTGTTTCTGATGTGTGCTGTGTGTTACAGTGGTGTTCATCGCTGGCAGTGGCATGTACATCAAAACAGATCCAGAGGGAAACATTATCTGGGCCGTGTGTAAATGCATAGGGGTGAGTCCAGATTCTGCTCAAAGGAATATTTACACAAAAATGAAAACTGTCATCATTTATGGGCTCAAACCATGATTCCCTATCATCTGTAGAACATAAAGATACATATTTAGCAGATTGTTCAAACTGCTCTTTTCCACAGTTTTGAGTTAGGAACTGGAATGAACTATAAACCTATCATGAAAGCAGTTTTTTAACAATAACATGACCAATTTATTTCATTTTTTGGTCAACTCGCCCTATAATCCACGTATACTTCTAATCATCTTGAGGAAAGTTACTTTTAAAAGTAATGCATTACAATATTGCGTAAATCTCTTAAAAAAGTAGCTAATTGCATTACTTATTATGAAGAGAAATGTGTGATTCCTCCGTCAATACATGGAAAACAAACTCACTTATTTGAAAAAGTAACTCAGATATTTTGATGTAAATGTAAATGAAAAGTGTGAAATCTGATTGCGTAAATCTTGTAATGCATTATCCGTAACACTGCTCATCCAGTCACGTGTGTCTTCTGTTTCCGTAGTTCGCCATCAGGAACCGTTTCCGGCACAGAAGCAGCGCTCATCCCAAGAGGGAGCACTGGATGGACTGGGCCGAGGACAAATATGATGTACACACTCCTGCCATCTCTGTGCACACACACGTACTCAACTGGGGACATTCCATAGACAAACATATATAATTGTAAAAATAATAATAATAAGTGCAATTGTAAAAATCATATTACAAAAGAGGACATCTATAAAATGAGGTTTTGTAAGATTTAACTCACTTCTGGGTTGCAAATTTGGGTAACACTTTACTTGAATGGGTGTGTATAAGACTGACATGACACATGTCATGAATGTGAAGGTTTTATGCATGTTTTTGACAACTCATTAAGAGTCATTCGCTCAAATATGAAATTGTTTGAGATGTAACACGCTGACATAAAACTATAGAGGGAATGCATTGACGTCACTTTCAACCGCCCTCAGCCTGACTGAGTGGCGAAAGATCTGCTGCGTGACTGGATTTAAGAGGGGAAACTGCGGCTAAAACGAACAATTTGATCAATTTAAACTAAATGTTGGACTCAATATAGTGTTCCTTACGACTTACTAAAGATCCAGTGATCATGGATATTGACATGCAGACAGGAATCGTGTTGCCTGACATTTATGTTTGCCTGATTTCCACACCGGGGAAATAAAAGCAATATAGACCTAAACATAAAGCAAATTTGCCTGTGAACGCTTTATATAAATATAATATAGGTCTAAATCCAGCTGATCACTTATATCAGTGTTATATATAGCCGTCCAGCCCTAAAACTTTATAGTTTTTTTTTTTTGGTCAGTGTTTATTAAAAACATCCAATAATGCGGAATATGTAATTATAAATATTTAATTGATGAGTTGGTAATATATATAACAATACGGGTATATACGGGTCCTTTCGCTGACTGGAGTCCAGTTGTTTCTGTGAATTGATTCATTTGCTCCTCTCTCTATATCAGTGTGTAAAAATATACCTCCGATTTTGTTGTCAAATCTAGTTGTACAGTCAATCGCAAAGCTCTTTCCCACTTTATATGTGTTGTGTATGTTGTTCTCGGCATTCACACTGAACACAAATATAGCCGCTCAGTCTTTTTGCCACTCAATGTGAGGTGCTCCGGCCGACGGTGACGTCACGTCTGTGTCTTTTTAGCAGACTAATTATCAAACTTAAGAAATCACTTAGCTTTATGGGTTAACATTACATTAAACTGTCATGTGGTTGGTTTTGACATTGGCTGTCATGAGGCTATTATAACTGTGTCATGAATATTTTTCTTGACCTCAACTATGTCATATTTGCATTATAAATGTCATAATTGAGCGAATGACACTTAATGACAGTTGTCATAAACCCTCCTTCATATTCATAACATGTGTCATGTCAGTTTTATGCACAGCCCTTCAAGTAAAGTGTTACCCAAAACCCAAATTCGTCCCCAAACATGGTTACACACACACACACACACATGTCCCCACAAAGTCAAACATCTTTTCTGGGACACGTAGTCCACGATGATCTACACACTCACACACTCCTCTGTTGTCTCTCCAGAAACTCCTCATCGCTCAGATTAAGATGGTGTTGAAGGTGTTGTTCCTCTACATCCCCCTGCCCATGTTCTGGACCCTGTTTGACCAAAAGGTGCGGATCTGACCTGGTTAATCTGGTGTGTGTGTGTGTGTGTTGGGCTTGTGTTTAGTAACGGGTTGTGTGTGTTGCAGGGCTCCCGCTGGACTCTCCAGGCCACCACCATGAGCGGAGACTTCGTAAGTGTCTTCATTTCACTTGTCTCTGAACGGGAGAGTTGGTCAGCAGTGACTCGTGTTATGTTTGTTATCAGTCTAGCGTAATCTGAGACATTCACGATTCACAGATTATTACAAATCCACAGAGAATTATGAAATATCTCTTTTAAATCGCTGTGATTTCCTCCTGTCTGTAGGGAGCGTTCATCCTTCAGCCGGACCAGATGCAGGTGAGCTCATCCCGTTATCCCGTGTGTGTGTGTGTGTGTGTGTAAGCCGAATCTCGCTCTTGATTATAATGGTCTAAGATTATAACATCTCATACACTACTGTTCATAAGTGTAAGACGTTGAACGAGTATCTTTAGCTCACCAAGGTGATCAAAAATACAGTAAAAATAGTGAAATATTATTACCATTTTCTGTCACTTTTGATATGCTTAAGTAACACCAGGGAACTTTTGCTCTCGGTATTGTCTCGGTAAACAGTATTGTCCTCTATACTGTCGTAAACTCTGTCATGCTACATGAACGCGCATTTGTTGACAACCATGATAGCCCTGAACACTGTAGGAGGACGTCATGCAGGTGTTCTGCTTGCGTCGCGTGTGAAATGTCTTCATCCCAGGTATGAAGGTGTGCATATATTTCAGCATGTCATATGAATATCATTTCATGGGTTTTATTTTTTTTTTCTAACGTCAAATGATCGCGATGCTCACGTTTACAAGCCAGCGTCATTAGTGGCTAGTCTATTGGTTGCCGTTTTACTGAATCTATATGATGCTTCAATGCAATGTTTGAGTGCTAGAGAATACCCATATATCGTCAATATTATAATATCAAGCTACCATAAATGAATCTGCAAATTTTACAAATTGATTTGCTTTATAGCTTGAGGCAAAAACAATAAACGAATATCACAGACATGTTAGGTATCCTAAAATATGATTTTGTACATCTTATATATTTGTTTGCTAGAATGTAGCCCCTACCGAACTTGTACACGCCGTTTAGACGATAGCTAACCATCAAAAACTAGAATATCGTTTACTAGCTACCAGATTGATAATTCGCTACTCTACTATCATTACTTGATTCATGAAGATAAATGGAGGATAAGATAGCTTCCTTAATATAGTCAGACAGAGCTGACGCCAGGGAGAAAACGCTGGCTTAATGTTGATCCTCGTTCTGCCTTTAACGCGATCACTTTCTCTTTTTCTCTTTTTGCTTTGCTCCGAGAAAACCTTTGCTTTCTTGCTTCGGCCATGACTATAACATTTGGCTCGCACGTCCGATTTTAAGGAAGTGGGGGTGGTGGTGGGAGTGACGTATATGCCGTAAAGCAGTCGAATTTTGTAGTTCTCTTTGTTCGCCGGTTACTACCCGAAACCCATTTAAAAGTACGATTAAAAACGCTACAGATCCCGTCAGGCTATGGCAGACGTGTCATTCAACCTATAGAGAGCCTACCCAGACAGCAAACTGACATTGAATCAACGTGGAAACGACGTCTCTCATGACATTGAAACAACGTTGATTTGCTCATCGAATTAACGTTGAACCAACGTCAGACGCGGCATTCTTCAAAGCTAAATGAAATCGAAAATTGGTTTGCTTTCATAACGTTGAAACAACGCGTTGATTTCAAGTTGATTTTCCGTTAGTTTTGAAAGAATGACGCGTCTGACGTTGGTTCAACGTTAATTCGATGAGCAAAACAATGTCAGATCAACGTTGTTTCGATGTCATATTTCCACGTTGATTCAATGTCAGTTTGCTATCTGGGTAAGTCCCTCCCCTCCGCTTCTGGCTCATGGGACATTTAATATTTCGGAAAAAATATGTGTGGTAGTCAATGGCGGGAGACAACTTATCTTTTTATTCCGTCTGAACTGTGCCCTCAATTACACATATGATGTTTGTCAATTTAAAAGATAATTCTGAAAGTCAAAAACGTCGCAGTTTGTCATAAAACAAAAGAGTAACATTTAGTTTTATGTGAAAATCGCTCAATGAACTACATCTCCCGGGAAGCGAAACAACGAGCAAGATCTGCTGCTCGTGTGTGTGCAGTCTGGTACAAAACACTCAGGCGTGACGGTGTAACGTTACGATTATAACGTAAGACTATAGAAACAATGACAGACATTATCCTCAGTAAAGTTAGCTTCAGTCATTGAGAGAAAATGTGCGCCTTTGGGGTTTGTAGTCTTTGTAATTACGTATTTTCACAGTCTTATACCTCAACGGTTTAACGACTTTCTTTACTTTAAAATGTATATTATAAATTGACAAACATCATATGTGTAATTCAGGGCACAATTCAAACCAGATCAAAATATTTGTTGTCTCTCGCCATTGACTACCATTCAATATTTTTCCGAAATAAGGTCCCATGGTGGTCGACCGGAAGGGGAGGGACTTAGGCTCTGTATTGTAAGTCGATGTACCATCTTAAGAGACTTGGAAATATATTATGAAGGTTGAAAAGTTCCCTGGTGTTACTTTAATGCATCCTCGCTGAAGCTAGTTTAATTTTTAAGCTTTTGAAAGAGGACTGAAAGCGCTGTGTTCTCTGTCAGACGGTGAACCCTATCCTGATCCTGACCCTGGTGCCCATCATGGACCGCGTTATATTCCCGCTCATCAAAAAGTGTGGCCTCGACTTCAGGTGTGAACAGATGAATCTCTGCTGTGAGAGTGATGACGATGATACAGTGATATAAACCTTGTGTTGTGTGAATGTGTTTTACGCTCCAGCCCTTTGAAGAGAATGACGGTCGGCATGTTGTTCGCTGCCTCGGCGTTTGTTTGTGCAGCTTTAGTCCAGATAGAGATCGACGTGAGTGTGAAATGTGACTCAGATTCAAGTGTTCACGTTCAGAAAAGCCTTCTCCACAATCTAATGTTCGTTATCTCCTCAGAAAACATTACCCAATTTCCCATCGTCCTCTGAGAGCCAGCTCAAGGTGGTGAACATGTACAACAGTTCAGTGAACGTGACCATCTCACCCAAAGACACTCTTCTGATAGACTCATTGGAGGTACTACACACATCTTATACACACACACACATAACAGAGAGAGATGCTTCACCATTGTTTCCCCTTTGTCTTGTAGAGCAGTGCAGGGTATGTGACATTGGATCACCAGGACATCACAGTGTCCTTAAACACAAGTCCTGTGACCACTAAAGCTTTCAGTTTAATTAAAGGAGGCCGCCAGACCCTCGTCATCCCCTCTGACCCATCCATCATGTATCTGGTGAGTGTGAAACAAGCAAATATTAGCAGTTCCAATGGTCAAAAACTGTTTTTCTGATGTAAAATGGTGGCTGCTCATGCCACAACCATTCTGGAGTGCTTTGGGTTGTTGCTAGGGCGTTGCTATGTATTCGTTTATGGTAGTTTTTAACATAGTTGCTTTTTCAAGAAATCAGCACAATTGTAGCTCAGTTGACCGTTCGCAAAGACCCGCCCCCATTAGTTACCGTTCTCTCACGCCACATATCATGTTCTCACGCAGTGAATAATACACTGACAACACATCGACCGATGTGACAGAGCAAGATACTTATTAATGAAACTAAGTTTTAGCTTTCAAGTTTTGTCATTTTTTAAAGAAATTTAACAATAAATGCCGTTTGTGGCTCTTGAATGTGTCTGGCAGATCGCTGTACGCCTCAGTTAAAGCTGCATGTGATATCATCAAATAAACATGAATGAACATCAGAAGGAATGCTGTTTCAACCACTGAAAGACGTCAGCACACACTGTTTTTCCAGTTTCAAGGCCAGCGACGTTATATCTACTAACTCTCCTGACTGCTTTGTCGGACTAAATGGCTAATTTGGGGGAAGGCGGATCATGATTGGTCAGATCACATGTCAATCAAACTCCTAGCGAAGGGTGTATTATATACGGTTTGCAAACATTCCAACGCCTCTCGATAAAGGAGAGGCCACACTACACTTCATTTCTTTCACTTCCATTCATGGAGAGCAGAAACACAAGCTCACGTTTCACATTTCTCTGATCTGCATGTAAAATGTGTGACCGATACATCACGGCTTGATCTCAGCACATTTAAAGGAGTACAAATGGTGAAGCCACTGATTTTTAGTGTTGCAGGTGTTTTAGTGTTTTTACAATCTTTACATTTTGGATTTATTATTATTTTGTGGTATGTTGAATTTATGTTTTTTTTTTTTTTTAAAGACATCAGTTTCTTATCAAAAAGGCAGAGCCCCAGAGCACAGCCTTCTATGACATAATCATTGTGGACCAATAGAGAATCACAGCCTGAGAGAGCGTTGGTGCTGGAAGTAAATTTCCCATTCATTTCTCCCATTGACATCCATATCTAAAGAGTATTAGAGCATGTCTGAGGATAATCAGTTACGGCTGAACTCATAAGCATACAACACATCATTTTGAGTGAAAAAAACGAAGAGAATGTCGAAAAAACGTCAAGGGTACAAGACTGTGTACATATTTTCATTTCCGAGCAAAGGAACTACACCTCCCATAAACCACCGCGCCTCACTGAAGTCGACTGAGAGCCACCGTGAAAGAGCCTTTTGAGTGACTTCCAAATCTGACGACGGCCGCGTGAACTTTTTCCTCCAGTGAATCATTTTCCTCGATTTACTGAAGCTTATGCACATGCAAAAACATTGAGCATCTGGCTCGCTTATTGGCTGTGTTGCGGCTACTGTATATCCAATGGCGCGCGGGCGTCTCAGAGGTGCGACCAATGAACTTAGCCCTACGTCATTACACGACCTTCAGTCTTCACGCGCCTTCGCGGGGTTTCAGACACGTTACACGACTTCCGCCAATCAGATGCATCACTGTGGGATTGTTCAGGATTGTGGGTAATGAAGTACTTATCCAATACATCGTGAATAAAAGGGATTTATCTTAAAACAAGGTTAGTGCCCCATTAACTTTTCCCGTTTATATGAGCATATACAATCACTTAGTACAGCCGTAGCTGGTTTTAAGTCTACCATGTATGGTTACGTTTTTATGGCTTATATCCCAACTGTCAATGTAGAAATTGTATTGAATTTTTACTTCCGGCACCGGCTGTGATGCTCTATGGCAGCTCAAGATGGTGTAACATCTGGCCAGTTTTACAGAAAGTTTGCACTGGCAAGCTGTTTTGAGCTATGAAATAAACTGCAAAACACTTTCGCTTTGGCCAGATTATGTCCAAATTATGTTGAAATGATGTTCCACGTCTTCGTTCTTCCGTTTCACTTGAAGTTTATAAGGGCCTTTACTGGTCCAACATTACGGTGATACAATCCCAGTGATAAATATAACAGTGAACTTGTCCCTGTCTTTTGATTTGTTCCTCCAGCAAGAAGACCTAAAGTCCAAACCAAGGGAAGGAAAGAATGCCATTAGGTCAGTGGACAAACATATATATATTTACTGTTTCTTAAAACGTCTCAGATTGTAACTGTGGTTCCCTGAGAAGGGAGCGAGAAGCTGTGTCTGAGTGATGACGCTATGGGAAAACTCGTACGTGAAATCGTGACGTGTGACTGGCAGCGTCAGGGTTGGGTACCGAACTCTATACTTTTAAGGGCACCAACCGAATAACGTCGCGACTACCGAGTACCGATTCATATTAAACCAATCGGTGCCAAAATTCAGTGTCTGAGAACGAATCTGGGCGTGAAAGTAACACTATTTACATATGAATCCTTCTGTGACTGTGTGAATTAATTTACCACACACACACACAAACACACACACATGACGACGCTACGTTCCCATAGCGTTGTCACGTCAGACGCGATCACGCAGGTGCATTCCCATAGCGTCATCACTTCAGACGCAGCAACTGGGAACTGAACTCTCCTGTAATGATGTGTGATGTCACAGGTTTGTGAACGGCTGGACAGCGGATCTGAACATCACTACCTTCAGTTCTGAACTGGAGCCATCCGTCACTTCAAACTACTCTCTGGTTAATCAGGGGACGTAAGTCAGTTCTTCAGATTTATCATTGATGTTTCATAAAGTATTATGATTGCTAAAATAATTTGTGAATTGCTTTTATTAAAGTTATATTAGTACTTTATATATATATATGAAGAGCTCTTTTCCAAAACGCTATAAATCCATTTCAATAGTTTTCAGGAAAACTACATTTTTTACCTAGACCCACACATTTTGTGAATATTCAAATTATCCTGTTTAAATGTTTTATTGGTTCAGTCTGAACATTTTGAACAATAATTATTAAATCAAACAACAATATTGTTAATGATAATTTAAAAGTTAATTTTATTTTTCCAAAACGCTTTAAATCCATCCATTTTTTGTATCATTATTAGTAAAGTCATTTTTAGTAAAGAGTCAAACCTCAAACAAATAGTACCAATTTCAACATATGCATGAAAAAAACGAATTATTAAAAATGATCAATATATGATAATGATATTCAAAAAAGGGATGGGCACCCCTCCAGCACATGCACACACACACACACAGGCTACATAACATGTGAGCAAAGCGGAGCAGCATGACGCTTAAATATAAGTTAAAAAAAAAAACAAAAAAAAAAAAATAAACATTTCACATTTGTTTTTAATAATATTACATCACTTATTTTTATTATTTCATCTATGTTGAGTTGGCTATGAAAAGGGAACCGCATGAGATGAGTAAGATAGGATCAAAATTCAAAAGCTGCCCAATATCGGAAAATATTTGGAGTGCGTCAGACATGATTTTGACCACTTATTAAGTTTTGTTTTGTAGAAAGCTTGTAAATTTCGTTTCATATAAATTGTATCTTCATTTTAATAAATGTTTCATCGACAAATTGACTGGATTAATACATTAGAAGTAAATATCAGACAATATAATCAGGACACAGAGGCGCGCAGGTGAACCGGAGCGCGTCTCATAATATGAACCGAAACACCGCGATGCTTGCCTCACACAGGCCTGAGAACTAAGCTACAGAAAGCTTTAAATATCTACTTTTAAACAAAACAATTAAAAACTAAAATAAATTGGCAACTCTCTGCGTATGTAGGCTAATTCGAAGTATGCGTTTTTCTATGCGCGTTCACTGCGAAGATGGCGAGTAAGCATCATCAACTTTATCTTTGTTGCTGACACTGACAGAAAACACTAGTTTTAAACAATTCAAATGTTTCATGCATAATCATTACTTTTGCCGGTTCTTTGTGGCAAGCTTTATGCATACGTTGAGATGCGGAATATGCAATTAAAAACGCTCATTTGGTTTCTCTCCCATTTAATTAAATCAATATATGTGATTACTGATAATACAAATGGCTTAAACGATCTACTACTAGTCGACTAGAAAACTAGGACTCATTTTGAGGAATGAATGAACATAATAAACCTCTGTTCAGAGTGCCGCCGTGCTGGATTGTGTAGAGCGCTCATTGAATTTGAGGATTTATCGTGTTTAGGCTAAAAACAGGGCTGGCGCTTATCGCGGCTTGGAAAGAGACTGTATCTTGCAGTACATTTTAAACAAGGAAATATAGCGATTCGGCATGAAACGTTGATGGAGCAGTGAAAGGGTTCTGTCCACAGCAGAATGACACGACAAACTCATTTTTTTTAAAAATGTCGTTTAACGCGTTTTGGAAAAGAGCTCTTCATATATATATATAGAATTTTTCAACAAAACAATTACAACAGAACTGATAATGTCACGACCCTACACTGGTTTAACTATTAACCTTATTTACTTAAGCTATTGCTACCATTAACATACTGGGAGAGTGAATAAGACCATACCCAGACAGCAAACTGACATTGAATCAACGTGGAAACGACGTCTCTCATGACATTGAAACAACGTTGATTTTGCTCATCGAATTAACGTTGAACCAACGTCAGACGCGGCATTCTTCAAAGCTAAATGAAAATCGAAAATTGGTTTGCTTTCATAACGTTGAAACAACGCGTTGATTTCAAGTTGATTTTCCGTTAGTTTTGAATGAATGACACGTCTGACGTTGGTTCAACGTTAATTCGATGAGCAAAACAATGTCAGATCAACGTTGTTTCGATGTCATATTTCCACGTTGATTCAATGTCAGTTTGCTATCTGGGATAGTAGAACGTGAAGTGCAATGATCGGCCAAGATTATTATTTACAATCACAATAAAGCCAAAATAATTGAAAATGAAATGAAAAAAAAAGAAAAAAAAAGTAAATACACACCAGCAAAATGATGATACACGGGACCTTGGGAGGACAAAGGGAAACTGGGCAGTGCCAACACAAAGAACAGAATAAAGTACTATACTTACCAAAGGTGAGGTTAGGGTTTGATTTAGGGTTAGTTACTACAGGAAGTACATGTAACATATAACTACGTCACCTTAAAATAAAGTCTTACCCAGTTGTATAAAACATTCTGGATTAAAATGGGGTTTGAATGCTTTTGAATTTATAAAAACAAGTTAAAGGAGTAGTTCACTTTCAAAATAACTTTAGCTGATAATTTACTCACCCCCATGTCATCCAAGATGTTCATGACTTTCTTTCTTCAGTCAAAAAAAAAAATTAAGGTTTTGGAGGGAAACATTCCAGGATTTTCTCCATATAATGGACTTCAATGGGAACCGAACGGCCCAAGGTCCAAAAGACAGTTTCAGTGCAAACTGTTCAAAGGGCTTTAAATGATTCCAGACGATGAATAAGGGTCTTATCAAGCGAAGCGATCGTTCATTTAATAAATAAATAACAAAGTTTGAGTTTTATAAGCACAAATGCTCGCCTTGCTCTGTTCTGTGATGCGCGTTCGTGACTCTCGTGACTCGTTCATCAAAATGAACAAATCTTTTTTCGAGTCATTTGGTTCATTCAACAAACGAAATGAATGAAATGACTCGAAAAAAGATTTGTTCATTTTGATGAACGACTTTGAACGGGAGAGTCACGAACGCGCATCACAGAACAGAGAAAGGCGAGCATTTGTGCTTATAAAACTCAAACTTGTTATTTATTTTTGAAATGGCCGATTGTTTCACTAGATAAGACCCTTATTTAAGATTTACGATTTCTTTTCGACTGAAGAAAGAAAGACATGGACATCTTGGCTGACATGGGGGTGAGTAAATTATCAGTAAATTAAAAAAAAAAAAAAGTGAACTACTCCTTTAAGTACTGGCTACTATCAGAACAAATCTGCAACCATTAATGACTTTGTTGTAAATTATCTGTTTTATATTACATGTACACTTACATTCCTGGACATATGTATTGTGATGTTTTATGTGGTGTATATATGTAATATTATACAGTATGTTATTTTGTTTGTTTAGGGACAGCAGATGTGAATGAGCTGTTTGCTAACTCGGGTGCATTTACTCTTAATTGTGTATTGTCCCTGTAAACATAAACAATAAAACGAAATGAATGACTTGCTGTTCTTCCGGTTTATCTTCTCAGACGGAAGTTCGTGCTCAGCAACGGCGCGCAGTCGTGTGAGTTTTCTCAGAAGTTTGGATTCGGTTCTTCATACACGTTCCTCGTCCCCAGCACGCTGTTCTCCACTGATGTGTGTATCCTCCCTCAGCATGTACACCTGCCTGTGTCATCTGTATAGCCCCTGTGTCTTGTTTTTTGGTTTATATGTGTGTCGTTGTGTGTGTGCAGTGTAAGTCTATAAAGGCCGTTGAGGACATTCAGCCCAACTCGGTCCACATGGCTCTGCAGATTCCTCAGTACTTCCTCATCACTACAGGAGAGGTCATGTTCTCCGTCACCGGCCTGCAGTTCTCCTACTCACAGGTGGGACAACAGTTCACTTCACCGCTCGAACAGTTAGACATTTAATTTTACACATTAAAATTAGATTAATTACTAATAACACTGTTTGAACAGTCTTCACTCATAACCTTCTAAAACCAATACAGTATCAGCTGTTACCAAATAGACAGTAGAAATATATCAAATGTTCTGTTACAGTATGTAAGATACAGTCTCGTAACCCAGTTTAATGTTTATTGAGAACTATTAGTATGCCATTGATGGGTTTATCTCTGAGCCTCACGGCCACTGGGAGCGTTTCTGCTCAGATGTCAGTCTGTTTCCAGCTCAGCCTATAGTGAGAGTTTGGGGGCGTGGCTACTGTAGAAGGCGGGGCCAGAGGGTGTTTATCCTCGTAGGGGGCATGGCTGATGCGTTACTAGGGAAAAGATATTCAGCTTCAGTTACACACTGTAAAAAATATTGTTGGTTTAACTTAAAAAAATTAAGTAACCTGGTTGCCTTATTTATTTTAAGTTCATTGAAATAGAAAAATTGAGTTAATACAATGAAAGAGATTGATTTAATCACCAAAAATTCAAAATATTATGTTATCTGAACTACATTAATTATTTGAGTTGATTTGACAAAAGAAAAAAATGTTGCGATGACAAATCATGAAAAAAAAAATTTTACAGTGAAGGAGTGCAAGACCAAATTTAATATGTTGGACCTTTTATTGAATGTATCCTACTTTTAAACTTTTATAGACTTACTTTTATCCTACTTGCTGAGACATGCCTTTGCAAGCAGCCGTAAGAGCTGTTTGGGATGTTTAAGTTGGAGTGCGTTAACAAAATATATATTTTAAGATCAGTAATTAAATGGATAGTCACAGTCCTGGATATTGATTGGTCAATACAGCATTCCCACGTGATAAAATACTTGTCTACACTCTTAGAAGAAAAGGTTCTATCAGCGCTACGTATTTGGAACCCCTAAAAGGTTCTATACACTTTTAAAAAATGGTTCCTCTGGGTTCTATATAGAACCCCGGGGTCCCGTACTTGGGCAATAGAACCTTTTACCAAAAAAATGGTTCTATATAGGAGTTCCATATATGAAGCGGGGGATGGAACCATTTCTGGTTCTAAATAGAACCATTTCTTCTAAGAGTGTAGTTGCCGCATAACGTGCCAATCTGTATTGTGCTGTCTTTCCAAACCTGTATGCATATCTTTCTTCAGCACAAAACAGAAGATATTTAGAAGGAGGTTTCAACAGTTTTTGTACATGCAATGGAAATCAATGGAAACCAAAACTGTTGGGTTATCAACATCCTTCGAATTTTATTTTGTGTTCAGCCAAAGAAAGAAAGTCATACAGTTTTGAAACGATATAAGGGCGAGTAAATGACATGATTTTCATTTTTGAGCGAACTATCCCTTTAAAAGTGTCTTTTTGGCATACGATATCCAAGATAATCCTCCAGTCGATATCTCCAGTCAATGCTTCTGTGTCTTCAGGCTCCAAAGAACATGAAGTCCGTGTTGCAGGCCGGCTGGCTGTGCACCAATGCCGTGGGAAACATTATTGTGCTGATTGTGGCAGAGCTGGGAAAGCTTCCGAAACAGGTGAAGCATCCACATGACCTCACACACGCATTCAGCCGAGCTGTATGAACACGCACAGATTTTGAACAACAAAAAATCATGACAGAATTAAAAAAATGTGTTGAATGATTCAATGTCTGTGTTTTCTCCCACAGTGGGCAGAGTATGTGTTGTTTGCGTCCCTGCTTGTGGCTGTGAGTATCATCTTCTCCTTCATGGCGTATTTCTACACCTACATTGACCCAGCTGAGATTGAGGCTCAGATCAGGAGGGAGCAGGGGCTTGAGCCAGAGGAAGAGAAGAAAGAGACACTAGAAATGGAGGACAAAGATAAAGAGCAGAAGAATGAGCAGGAGCTCAAACATACCAAGCTATGAGATACTATGATATGAAGACGACTGGATTGTTATATGTTAAGATCTACCCTTTAGTTCCATATTTATGTAAATAAAATGACTGTGAGCAGACCTTGTTGTCAAATTCAGTGTTACTGTATTGATAAGACCCTACTGAGTGAACAATCGGATGTATCATGAAAAATTCTGTAGTGTAAAACCTTCTGTCGTAATATTTTTAGACATGGTTTAAAATGCAAATGGTCTGGTTAGGGTAAGATTTGTTAAGCTAATAAACAAGGAACTATGAAACAAAGGTCTGTCTATCTTTAGTCTTTTGAGTTTATGTAGGGTGTCTTTAGCAAAACACATTAGAATTCATTATGAGGTATAAATGTCTTGACTCTTACCAGAGAGAGTGATAGAGCCAGTTCAGTGGATGGGGATTATTAGAAGGCCATGATTGGTAAAGGCCATTGAGTGGAATGTGGCCAAGGGTTACACACCTACTCTTTACCAGAAGTGCCATGGAAACACTTCTGTTACCCAAAGGATTATTAGGAACACCTGTTAAATTTCTCATTAATGCAATTATCTAATCAACCAATCACATGACAGTTGCTTCAATGCATTCAGGGGTGTGGTCCTGGTCAAGACAATCTCCTGAACTCCAAACTGAATGTCAGAATGGGAAAGAAAGGTGATTTAAGCAATTTTGAGCGTGGCATGGTTGTTGGTGTCTGAGTATTTCACAATCTGCTCAGTTACTGGGATTTTCACACACAACCATTTCTAGGGTTTACAAAGAATGGTGTGAAAAGGGGAAAACATCATCCAGTGAGCGGCAGTCCTGTGGGCGAAAATGCCTTGTTGATGCGAGAGGTCAGAGGAGAATGGGCCGACTGATTCAAGCTGATAGAAGAGCAACTTTGACTGAAATAACCACTCGTTACAACCGAGGTATGCAGACAACACACACAACCTTGAGGCGGATGGGCTACAACAGCAGAAGACCCCACCGGGTACCACACATCTCCACTACAAATAGGAAAAAGAGGCTACAATTTGCAAGAGCTCACCAAAATTGGACAGTTGAAGACTGGAAAAATGTTGCCTGGTCTGATGAGTCTCGATTTCTGTTGAACATTCAGATGGTAGAGTCAGAATTTGGCGTAAACAGAATGAGAACATGGATCCATCATGCCTTGTTCCCACTGTGCAGGCTGGTGGTGGTGGTGTAATGGTGTGGGGGATGTTTTCTTGGCACACTTTAGGCCCTTAGTGCCAATTGGGCATCGTTTAAATGCCACGGCCTACCTGAGCATTGTTTCTGACCATGTCCATCCCTTTATGGCCACCATGTCCCCATCCTCTGATGGCTACTTCCAGCAGGATAATACACCATGTCACAAAGCTGGAATCATTTCAAATTGGTTTCTTGAACATGTCAATGAGTTGACTGTAGTAAAATGGCCCCCACAGTCACCAGATCTCAACCCAATAGAGCATCTTTGGGATGTGGTGGAACAGGAGCTTCGTGCCCTATATGTGCATCCCACAAATCTCCATCAACTGCAAGATGCTATCCTATCAATACGGGCCAACATTTCTAAAGAATGCTTTCAGCACCTTGTTGAATCAATGCCATGTAGAATGAAGGCAGTTCTGAAGGTGAAAGGGGCTCAAATACAGTATTAGGATGGTGTTCCTAATAATCCTTTAGGTGAGTGCATATTATACTATACATAACATTGATCAGTGACATTTCTTTGACCATAATAAGCCAGTTGTTGATATAATTTAGTACCCGGATGCCCCGAAGCCTCGGCAGAGCTAGAGCCGCATCCATGCATTTGGTGAATGAAGTTGTGGTAAAACAGTTCCCACACCAGTGAATGAAGCATTCAAGTTGGTCTCCCTTCACTTTTTATCTACTTATATATTTTAATATAGTAAAACTTAAAATATATAATAAACTTGATACTCATAATCAATGACAACCACAAATCAATTTTGTTTACTTTTTTCCAGTTTTTCCTGTACATCATTGATACAAACCTTTACAAGTTGGTGAAATGTATTAAATGCTTTAAAGCTGTAATTGAATCTGTGATTTATCTTAGAACTGGTTGGTTTGGTTCATGGAGTAAAATGTTTATTGAGGAATTAATTGAGGATCGAAAATAAATGGGGGGAAAAAACTTCTGAAACCACAGCTGTTGAGAAAGTGACAACGCCAATGAGAACATTAACCCAGGGTTAGGAACATACAGGAGGGCTTTTCACACTTGAAGTTAACCCTGGGTCATTGTACTCCCCGGGTAAATGGAAGCCCGCTTCACATTACACATTGTTCATAATTCACCCTGGGTTAACAGTTAGTCCAGCAAGGTTTCATAACCTCGGGTAAAATATGATTTTATCCCCGCTTCTGAAATATAAGTGTCAAACGTTCCTCTACCTGGGGTTAAAAGCAGCGTTTAGAAAGACGATATTCATGGATGAGAAAGGCGATTTCCACAGTGTGAAAAGCCCGTGTGTGAAGCATCAGTTTATGAATGCCCAGGATTAATTGTAAATTGCAGGTCGAGAAATAGCATTGTGAAACGTGAAACAAGATAACCCAGAGAAGCCTAAGTTTACAATGACCATGTTTTGACTATTTCAAGTGTGAAAAGCCCTGAAGAGTGGGCGTTGGCATTGTGGCCCAAGTTGCCCCATTGATTTTTATCAAAGATCTCCTTCTAATACTATGTAATATACCCCACAATTCACCGAAGTTCACAAAGCACAAACGATTGCCAGTGAATAACAAATTGATGACGTATTTTCTTGTCCTATTTAGAGCTTGAAGGTTTTGAACAGGTTTTGAACAGCACGAGGGTAAATGATGATCCTTTTGGCATCAGACACAACTTTCCCATTGGTTTTAAGTCAGGTTTATAGCTTACGTTTTTTGTTAAGTTTTGTGAAACTAATTGCATATAGACTGTATTCCTAAACATTGTAAGAGGCAACCTGCTCTTTGATCCCGGCTGTGGTCCCGCCCCGCTACACCCATATGATAAAGAGTCCTGATGGACTGACTAACACATGAGTGTGAACGGCGTATTCAGGACGCAGCAGCCACAGTCATGGACGCTAATGGACGAAAGGTACTGTGTGTTTGAGTGTGAAAGAGTGTTTTCTGGTTGTTATTAGTTGACATCATGGTCCTGATGTAGGAAGACGAAGTGTGTGAGGCTAATATTTGTGAAAGTTGGCTTTTTATATATGTAGAATATTGTGTTTACCAGCAGAAATGTTCCATAAGAAAATGAATTTGAGTTTTACCACAGTAAGGGTTAATATCTGTTATTATATAACACAAAATACCTGGCGGTCAAAGTGCCACTGTTAGTGGAAAGGCCGTGACTATGGTTATTGTAAATGACGTGTGTGAGATTAGATTAGTCGTGTATATGTCCTGATTCAGCACAAGCTGCATTGACATTTATAGAGTCGTAATTGGCCTGTGCAAAGAGTTCCTTACTGTCAAAACATTAATTTAGCGACTACTGCCTACATTAGAGAGGGATCCCATTGCACCTTATGGAAAACTATATCAGGCTAGATGCTGCCAAACTGGTGAAGAGTTTGACCACTAGAGTCGCACAAATGTTTGTGTTCTCCATTCTTTCTATTCATTCTTTTGAAACTCCAACTTTTTTCCGATATGCAGTGATGCCTTTGGGATTGCAGAATGCACCTGCTATGTTTCAGCTCTTCGTGTGAATCACGAGGCTTACTTGAATGACATTACGATTAATTCTGATTGTTAAAATGAACATCTGGTGACTGTATCGGTGTTTGAATGCCTCTCTCATCATAAACCGTTGTTTCATTGGCCGTGTGCATAGATGCTTTAAGTTTATGGCCAGTAAAACCAGGGCAAAAATCAGCATACCAAGAGATGCTTCTTCAGTTGCATTGCCAGAGATGGACATGAGATCTGTGTGAGGGTGTGATGAAGATGAAGTCAAGCAGGTTCACTCTTAGAAGAAATGGTTCTATTTAGAACCAGAAATGGTTCCATCCCCCGCTTCATATATGGAACTCCAAAATGGTTCTATATAGAACTATTTTTTTTTTAAAGGTTCTATCCACAAGTTTCCTACGCCCCATGAGGCCTTGCGTCAAAAGTGGGCGCGACTTCCGGTTGGAAGTAAACAAAGCGCGACTTGACATGCTTGACACTCAAACTTGTTCATTCAACAGTTGACAGTCATTCAAGTTATAGCGATCCAAACTAGCTAACGATGTGGGAACACAACCTCAACGAAATTAAAAAGGGTGAAATAACAGTACCTTTACCCTCCGCAGTAGTTGGTTGGGAGTATTATAATAACATTATTAATAATCAATACTCATCAAGGCATGGTGACAGACAGTTGTGCGAGCTGACAAACAATTAAAATAAAAAATACACACTTAGTCATTGTGCTTTGGAGTTTATTCAAAATTATAAATGAATGTGCTGCTTGAATAGGCTACATTAACTGGCACATTTGGTATTCTGTCAACACAGGCTTTGATCCTGAGTTTAGGTGTAACATCAGTAGCGAACGAACAGCCAATCACATGCTGATAGAGTTTATAGAATATTAAGAATTTAAACAAATGTACACAGGAAGATTGGTCGTCTTTTGGGAGGTGATGGAAACCACAGTCGTTGGCAGGATCAGAGACGGGCTCTGGCAGGATCACTCTGATTTCGTTTTCAGCTTATGTTCAAAACAATCACGTCTAAGCCATTGAATTAGTTAAGTCCGGTTATACATACAACCGCGAACAGCACATGTTGTCCCTGAGCTCCGTAACGACATCTCTCATAAAGATTTGCGTCTTTAAATAGTAAAATAATTCTCCGAAAAACAGCTAGCCTCTTCGCTAACTAACACACAAAATACCATTTGAATGCTACTTCCGCCGCCTCAACGGAAGTTTCGACTTACTTTATTTTTTACAGGAGCGCCCCTCGGAAACTTGTGGATTGGCCATGTATGGAACTCCAGGGTTCTATAAAGAACCCAGAGGAACCCTTTTTTAAGAGTGTATAGAACCTTTTAGGGGTTCCAAATACGTAGCACTGATAGAACCTTTTCTTCTAAGAGTGTTGAGTTGACTAGCATTGCTGTGTCTACGCCAACTGTATGTCCACAGATATGTTGTATGGATATGTGTAGACACTTGTTTTTATTTTACACTATTTTAAGTTTTAGCTTTTTATGTTGGACTTTCTATATTGTAAAAAGGTAAGAAGCGTATTGCACAATT